TCTCAGAGATAACTTTGTGACCTGTTCATTTAAAGCCTTCCATTGGACTTTCAGCAGTAATTCTTCCTGAATGGCGAGGTGGTCTTTCTTCTGAAGGTATCTGGTGATGCAGGCAGTTTTTCATGACTTTGGGGATTTGTATTTCCCTGGCAGTTAGGTTAACAGTACCATCAGAGATGTAAAGAGGTAAAAGCTCCAAAGTATAAATTATATTTGGCATAGTTTGTCATGATTAATAATAGAACATTTAAAGGCCTTAATTAGAGATTATTTTGACTTCTCTATCATTGAACCTTTTAGTCTAAAGAGAATGTTTTCATAACAGTGAGGTTATTGAATGAATTGAATAGAAGCTCATCTTGATATAGTATAAAGAATTTATTTCCAGTTTGTAATTTTCATTTCTTCTTTTGGAAAAGGTTATTGTTCTGTAGCACTATTCTAGGAATAGAAGTGGTAAATTTTCACTAGCTGCCATTGATTATCATGTGAATAATGCCTCTAGGAGGTGGTCTGGGGTGCTCGCACTAGCACTATTTCTGCGATTGGCCTCGGGCTTGTGCCTACTTGAAGATACACTTGAAAAGTACTGAGGTCATTTTATTCAAAAAGTAGCTCATGTCTTGAGTACTGAATGAGATTGCTGCGAATATGAATATCTGAGCCAAGTTAATGATTGAACTATAGCCAAATGGTTAGGAATATAAAGAAAAAGTATTATTGGGTGGCAGAGTTTTCTTTTTATTATGCAAAACCACCTAAGAAAACTAAACTCTGGGGAGAGGAAAGCTACGTGGACGTTGTGGCTGTCACACAGGCATCTTTCTGCTGACCATGGTGACGACATTGTGAACACTACCACTTAAAACTAACTTTTCTCTTTAAGGGCTCCTGAAACTGTGCCAGCTGACTCCAAGTCCACCCTGACCCCACAGCATAAACCATGCTGTGATGTCACAGCTACCATAGAACTCCAGGGTAATGTTGAGCTGGCCCATGTGGGCTCAGGTAAGTCCTGGCTTTTTTTTTTACCATTTGGCATTCTTTTCAAAGTTAGTTATCATTATGAATTTTTGTCATAAAAGAAAATAAGGCAAAACTTTGAAAACTGTGCCATATATTGGGGAAAAAATAAGTCTGTTTTCTAAACATCTATGAGCCAGCTCCATATTCTAACCAACGGAGTTCCATAGTAGCTGTGAAGTCCCCAGTGAGTTTTGACCAGTGGCTTCAAAGTATGTTAAATTCCACTCCTGGCCCAGCTTATAGAACAATATGAACTGTTTTAAGTTTGTTTGTAATATGTAGTAACTTTCATTTACTTCTAGGTATTCATGTTTTTAAAAGTGTATTAACCTTTCCCGTGACCTGTAATTCCACAACACCGCCTAGTTGGCTGTGTATTTCACTCAGTCAGTTTTGAATGTGTGGAAACCATAGGTTAGTTTATAAAGTTAATCTTCTCAGGGGCCGTCAGCTGTCCTTTCAGTTGGCCTTCATAGCATGGAGGAAGAAGGGACAGAACGTGTGATAATATATTTGTTAGGTTTTAAAAAAACCATATTAAGAGAAAGATGCTTCAGTTGCTCTCAGAGAGGCAGTATGAGAGGTCAGGGACGAGGGAGCGTGGGCGCGTCGCCTCTCTGCTGCTGGAGCCCTTCTGCCCTGGTCCTTGTTCCTCCAGGTGAGATGTTAGCACTGGCTTTATTTTCTGTCTTTTCCTGCCTACCAACTCTTCTAGCCTCTTCTTCCTTTTCTTTATCCCCTGGTGTTAGAGTAAAAACGTTATGTGAAGAACTCAGAAGCCCTTTCATAGGTTTTGCTTATAATCTGATACGCATCCCCCCCCCCCGCAATAGAACACATTTGGTACCTAAAACTTTACATGATCTGAGTATGGGCCAAATCCTTTTAAAAACCCTGTTTACAGTGCAAACCTTCACCATCTGTCAAGAAACTGTCTAAACTTTAATCAGTAGCTGTCCTTGAACAGTGTGTCATAACGATAGACCCAAAATTTGGACAGTTCAGTGACAGTTTCCTGAAATTTGTAATAAATGTACTCGTCCCTGTAGCTGAAACTGTGAGTTCTTTATTATAGTTAATGAGAAGAATGGAATCCTATGTTCCCGAAACATTAAACAATACAATATTTTTCTTCAGAATATTACTTTGTGCCTATACTTAAGTTTGTGTTTTTCGTGTTCTAGAAGACTTGAAGGAGTTTATGCTGTGAAGAATAGAGAACAAACCCTCTAATAGCTTCATTCTCCTTTCCTGCCCTCCTGGGTTTCCTCCGTGCTGGGGAGCAGCACACCCGGTCTGGGGGCAGTGGCTATTGTGCTGTTTGGATTAGGACACTTAGAAGTCTTGGTTTTGTGCGTGCGTATGTATGCGCTTTACTGAAATAGAATTGATGTACCGTGCATTTCATTGTTTATAGTTTTAAAAATCCACTTAATTTGAAAGCTCTTTGGGTGACATTGCAAACCATAGTTCCAAAGCACACCGTGCCCTTCCCCCCTCTTTGATTATGCTATTGAGTTTCTAGTTACAGAAATCCCTCAGAAACATTAGTGAGGAAATTCTTAAAAGAATTTCTAAGAGGAGATTCTTGTAGACCCCAGCTACACGGTGAATTAGCCGGCATGGTGGAGACAGTGACTTAGAATGTCCCCCAGCCCACTCCCGCCGGAAGAAGAGTTACTTGACGGCCATCTTCGTCTTTGGGGAACAGAAGTGTGTGCGTGTGCACACGTGCCGAATGAGGTACATGATGTGTGTACCGTGTGGGGCTTCCTCTCTCTCTCTCCACGCCACTTGCGTCTTCGTGGTCCTTGGGTTGCTTTTGGCAGAGCTGAGAACATTTCTTCTGTCATACAGAGAAAGTTATGAATGTATATTTTTATAGGCCAGAGCTTACAACCTGTAACAGGTGCAGTGACCCCGCGGGCCCCGGGAACAGGGATAGCTTCGGTAGGACTTGAGTGAAAAGTAGTCGCCTTCACAAGAAGATGCTATATACACAAAAGGAAATGGAGTAGGGCATATTTAGTTCTAAAAAGATGAACGACTTTAAATGATTTAAAGATCATGAGCTTTCTTTGATTATTCTCATCTGTTCATTAAAACAATTAAAAAATTAAAGCAGAAATTTGAGAGATTTCGTGTACTTGATAACCATAGATTTGTTTTTATTTCAAGTAGGATTTTCTGTGTTCTTAAGGCTCGCCCTTTGGAGAAGATCCATGCCAGTCATATCACCTGTAACCCTGATGACTTCTCTAGGGCACTGCGCCTCGTGAGGGAGTTTTAAAGCCCCTTCGGTATTGGGGGGCGGTTTACAGCTGTATTTAGATGTTTGTATTGAAGAAGGTATTGACCTCCATTGCTGTGAAATTAAAAATTCCTGTAAGAAGGTGTTCTCATTTGATACCATGGATTCTTCACCTGAAAATTATAGTTGTTGGCAGCACAGTGTCCTTTTTCTGGAGAGTGGGTCTAGATTTGCAGAAAGGACCTTTGACCGCAGAGTGAAAACTTTTGAAGCTGGCCTTTTATGGCCCAGAGATGTGCTGATAAAGGACTGTTATGAGCATAGGAATCATGTTTTTACTGTCTGTGTTTCTCACATTGCCTAGCATAGTGCTTTGCATGTCATGGGCATTCAGTGAACGTGGGAATTATCATTTTAAAGATTTGCTATTATTTATTTTTAAATTTATTATTTTTAAAAAATGTTTATTTTTGAGAGAGAGGGGGGCGGGGGAGGGAGGAGCAGACAACACAGAGCCTGATGCAGGGCTCAGACTCACCAACCGGGACATAATGACCTGAGCTGAAACCAAGAGCTGGCTGGTTAGCCAACGGAACCACCCAGGCACCCCAAGATTTGCTGTTTTTAATAACTGGGAGATGTCGGCATTGTACCAATCTGTTATTCTCCAAGGAATAGCTCCTGTTTCTCTAATTCAATTCGACAATAAAGAAATACTTTTAAAGAATATGCTGTGAATATTTTTAGCTAGTTTTAACATTTTACCCAAAAACAAATTTTTCGTGATGTAACTTAGGAAACAGTTAAAATCATTTGTTCCTGCAGTCTTGGGGTGTGTCTGTGTGTGTAACACTATTTGTGGTAAATTAAAGCTTGCCTACATCTGTATTTATTTGTTTTTTTTTTGCCGAAGCTATTTATTGTTCGTAGATCTGTACTGTACTGCTTAGTAAATAGAATTACTATCTTAACATTAATTTGTGTTAAGATTAGTAACATGGCTTCATTGGAACAGAACGTTCTTTATGGATTTGGAAAAAGTGATACTTGGTTTATCTCTCTGTCCCCCAACTGATTTGTAATGTTTTATTTTAGCATATTTTTGTTTTAACTCATCTGGTTCAAGTTTTACTGTATTCACACTTAATGAGTGTAAGGAAGACTTGGCTGTGTGAGGTTCTGAAATCAAAATGTCACTCACTTTAACTTACATTGAAAATGGTTTTAATTGCTCTGAGTTGTTTGAAAGCTAACCAGCAGTATGGAAGGCTCAGCCCTTGTTTCAGCTTAGAGAATTTGCGGTGTGAAGGGCAGGAGAGCCCCGCGCCAACAGGAAGCCCATCCCCGTCTCCTTGGCTTCCGCATAGTAGGAGCAGAACAGGAGTTTAGTGTCTTCTGTAAAGTTGTTTCTCATACTGGGGTTACTGATCTTTGATCCAATGAATACATGATGGTTCAAATGATTCCGCTAAACCTCGCCGGAGCCTGGAGCCAGCGCTGATGCGAAGGTACGTACCTAACTAGGTGGGCCTAGCTGTGGAAAGAAATTAGAGGGGAATACACCAGTTTTCTTCACTGTTCTTTAGGACATTGAAATGTTGTCCCAGGATCCAGGAGTCCTAGAGAAACACTTAGAAGGGTTTATTTAGAGTATATGCAACAGGTTTATGCCTTTTGAAGAAAAGTAGAATTAAACTCTTTTCTGTCTTGATGCTTGTTCTAGGGGTTGTAGAAGGTGATCTAGCTGCTATAGAAGCGTACAAGTCATCAGGAGGGGACATTGCCCGTCAGCTCACTGCGGATGAGGTGCGCTTGCTCAACCGCCCTTCTGCTTTCGATGTTGGCTATACACTCGTCCACCTGGCTATACGCTTTCAGAGGCAGGACATGCTAGCGATACTGCTCACAGAGGTGAGTGTGGCCATTTGGGTTAAACATTGTTGTTTTATGGGAAGGAACTGCGTTCATTAGTTTTCATTTTTGATGTAATGTTTTTCTAAACTGTTCTTAAATGTTTTAGATTCTTCTACTCCCTTTATAAATTAACACCAAACTTGAAGCTTTAACAGCATTTAATTCTTAAGGGTGTATGCTTTTAAAACAGGACATTTTGCCACAATATTTGAATCCTTTCTTGGATTAAAAAAGACACTAGGATGTGTCTTTCTTTCATTCAACTAATACTTATCGAGTACCTTCTTTGTGCTAGGCACTGTGCTAAAGACATTGGCTGTTCCTTCACTGAGTCTCAGAAAAGTAGAGAAACAGGTCATTCTGCATAGAGTGTGTTGTCATATATGCCTGTGGCTAGCCATTGTTTAGCGAGTTAAGAGTCCAGTGACGCCAGAGGCACCTGATAGAGGAGGGGGCGGCTTGAGAGAGAGAGAGAGCTGGAGAGAGAGAGAGCCACGGTGTAAAACAAGGGGCAGGCTTACTGTGTATCTGATAGGGGGAGGGACTGTTTTGAAAAGCAGCAATGTGATTAGAAGTACCAGCCTTCCGGAGCAGGGGACGCAGCAGTCAGGGATAGTTTCTGTAGTGTCTGACGTCTGGCTGTGTTTGCGTTGTATATTGGCAGGGCCAGTGCTGGGAGCAGTAGTTGCTGTTGGTGGCAGGAGACCGGATGGAGAGGCAGCTGTGAGCCAAGGCTCAAGTATGCAGGGGGCTCTTGGGCTCCCCTCAGGCTGGTAGGGGACTGAGAAAGTTGCAGGGGCTGTCATAAGGCACTGGCCTCCTCAGAGCAGTCTGGGGACAAATGGGGGTGCAGTAGAGAGATCCTCCGGGTATTTATTATTTATCGCCTAACAGGTCACCTCAACTTAGCAGCTTTAGTCCAGAAACCGCTGTTTTCTCACACAGTTCCTGGGGGTGAGGCGTCCGGGAGCAGCTTCTTGGCTGAATGATTTTGGCTCAAGTTCTCACAAGGTTACAGTCAGATGTTCAGAACTGCAGTTGTCAGAAGGCTTGATGGGGCTAGAGGGTCTGGTTCCAGGCACACTCATGTGGCTGCGGGTAGGAGGCTTCCAGTCCTTGTCACATGGGCCTCTCCATAGGACAGGGTTCACCCAGAGCTAGTGACCCGAGAGACCCAGCGCGCCTGTAATCTAAATGGAAGCTGCAGGGTCTTTAAGATAAAACTGAATTTAGGGAGTGACATACCCTGTTTTTTGCCATGTTCTTTGGGACGCAGAGACCAACCCTGGTGCACCGTGGGAGAGGTGGGAGGGGGTGGGTCTCCAGGGAAGGAACATAATTGGTTGTGGAATCCAGCCTTGGTGGGGCAGCCGCTCCGGAGGACGTCACTGAAGGGGTGAGTAGGGAGACCGGACTTAGATGTGTCTGCGGAGAGAGGACAGAGCCCAGTACTTTGGGACTGAGAAGAGGAGAGCGGTGTATTTCGGGGATACGTATCAGGGGCAGGGACTTTAATTGGATTTTAGGGTCATGGACTCTGCTGGTAGCCTGCTGGAATCTGTGCACTCCTTTTCAGAGTACTGGTTTTAAATGCAGAAAATAAAAAAGATCACAAAGGAAATCAGTTATATTGAAATAGTTGTTTTTCAGAATTATTAGATTTGTGATACATAATAAGGGGATGCATTTTAAGACTAGGCAAGCGGTTAGTGAAAATGAAGAATTTAAATTTAATGGAAATTCCCATTCACGTTCAGGGACCCTTCCCAACAAATTCATGTGCCCTAAGTTAAGAATTACTAGCCTAGGGACATAAGGTTGAAGAGGCTAGAAGACAAAGGGGTAGGCTTCAGGGTCCGGGGCTGCAGGGTGGGGGGCGGGAGGCCGCCTGACCACTCCCCCCTGTAAGGTTCCCCCTTACAGGAAAGCGGGGTGTTCGCAGTTTTCACGTTATGGTTCAAGTTGTTTTTGAAGAAACCGTCCTAGGTTTCGGAAGGGGGCAGAGGGCTAGCAGATTAGAATAAGCTATTTTTTTTTTTAATTTTTTTTAATGTTTTATTTATTTCTAGGAGAGAGAGAGACAGCGTGAGCAGGGGAGGGTCAGAGAGAGAGGGAGTCAGACTGAGAGAGGCTCCAGGCTCTGAGCTGGCAGTCAGCACAGAGCCCGACGCGGGGCCTGAACCCACGAACCGCGAGATCATGACCTAAGCGAAAGTCGGACGCTTAACTGACTAAGCCACCCAGGCGCCCCTGTAACTTTTTGATTACAGATCTCGATAGTAGGTTCCAGGAAGCTTGTGAGGTTGGAGAGAATCATTCCCTCCACCAGGTACAATCTGATTCTGTATGAACGATTCTCTGATGGGAATGAGTACCGGGGGTGTAATGTACAGCGGGGTGAACATGGCTAANGCCCGACGCGGGGCTCGAACCCACGAACCGCGAGATCATGACCTAAGCGAAAGTCGGACGCTTAACCGACTAAGCCACCCAGGCGCCCCTAGAATAAGCTATTTTTGAATTTATTTTGGAATCCATTTAAACTGTGACTTGAGAAATTGTTCTGTTCCAAAAATATATTGATGCTTCATTTTCTGTAATTGGAGTGTCACATAATGATTGGATTTGTGGAGTCAAGAGGTAGGAAGAATCTCATTGTTACTGGTAATCCTGGCCAATAAAAATGTTTATGTTTGTGTTGGGTGTGCAGGGTTTTTGAGACACTGTTCACGTAACCTTAATAAAAATCACAGTTCCTCGTCCCCATACACATAGATGACATTATGGGTAAAACTTTGAGTGGCTTATTGGCAGATCTGCCCCGAACCCCACTTGTGACTGGAAACGTGCTTTTGGGCAGGTTGTCCAGGTCTGAGGTCAGTGGCTGGCGGCTGGCGTCTGATTTGCTCAGGATTCACACTGGCCTCCCTTCCTCTCCAGCAGATACTCACCTTGGATTTCAAAATTCTTTGTATGCAGACTTTCTGAGCCCAACAAAAGGCATACAGTTTAAATGTAAAATTCTATGTCTGCATCTTTTGTCGCTACCCATTGTTACAAAGATAAAGGAGGGTTCTAGCCACCTGCTTGCTGAGAAGCGCCCTGCCCACGTGCTCACGTTTCATTCCTGTCGGCTTAGACCTTGAATGTTTGCTCTCTTCCACACTGAGAGGAGCCAAATGCTTTTTTAAATATTCAGAATTATAACAAACAGGGAAGGATTTGAGCTCAGTGGGAACTAACCCTTCAAAAATGTCATGCTTTCCTTATTCCACGTCAAGGTACTTGAAGTATTCTTACTTAACCCAGCGGGGGAAGAGTGTTTGTATTTTCCCCATTTCTCCACAAGCTGGAATTTCCTGTTTTTTAAGAATGCTTTCATTGGGGGCATGATGCTTAGTTTTGCTTAGGTGGTTTTCTGTCCTCCCTCCCTCTCCTATGATGAACCTTTGTGAACAACACCATTTTATAAAAATCTTTATATATTTCCTTGGGAGAAATTCCTAAGAAGTAAATTTTCTCCTGGGAAGTTGTACTGAAACATACTTCCACTGGTGAGGAAATCATACCTATCTTAAAATTAACAGAACAACACCCTGAGTCCCTGGGAAGGTTTGGTAATTTCTTTTAAATACCATTGTTTTCTGCTTTTGTTAACGTGAAATGAGATGCAGAGGAAAGTCTCTTTTGTGTTTAAGGTGTCTCAAGAAGCAGCGAAGTGCATCCCTGCAATGGTGTGTCCTGAGCTGACAGAGCAGATCCGGCGAGAGATCGCCGCCTCTCTCCATCAGAGAAAGGGAGATTTTGCTTGCTATTTTCTAACTGACCTTGTGACATTTACGTTGCCAGCAGGTAACTCCAAATTTCAATGTGAGAAGAAATTTTTTTTTTAATGTGTGGGTGAAATGGTTTCTGTTAGGACGCAGATAACTTAGTTACTATATGTGCATTTTAAATTACTTTACTTGACCACCCTGTTTATACTGGAAGCAACCAGTCCTAGGGCTCCTCGTAAAACTTAAGCTTTGGATCTGGTAGGAAGATAGCAGCTGATAATAACTGACTTCTGTGTGGCCCTTACATGTTTCAAAAAGTCTGTTTTACCCATTTATTTTTCTCTTCCGTTTTATTTTAGGATGTATGCTTTTTTTTTCTTTCTCATGCCTGTCTATTTTAAAATTACATAGGTATTGGTTATTGGTATTAGGAGATAGGAGTAGAACATGGGCTTTTAATGAGTGGAGTCATTATTTGAATCAGAGATACTGGCATTCTTTTCAAAGTGTCATTATTATCTTCTTCACTCGTTACATTAATTTCTACTGTGTTTGTGAAGCAGCTTTTCACTTTTCCATATTCAGTGACAGGTGGAAGTGTCTTCTGGGATGGATCATTTTGTCATTTGGCATTGAATAAATGGCACCAGACACCAAAAGTTTCTAAAATAAAGCTTCTGTCTTGATTCTGAGTGTTTTGAACTTTTATATAGGCGTGAACACAGGAGCATTTACAAACGGTGGGAGATCATCACTGAGACTCGTAAAATCAGATTTCGCTTGAAGTGCACTCTATATATTTAAGCTTACTCTGGTGATGTTTAGAATTTTACTCTGACTTGAAAATAGCTTAAAAAAATTTTTTTAAAGAGTTTTCAAGGGTAATTCTTTTTACTGTTGATTGCTCCATTAGTAAACTGAAAAACCATAGAGAATTTGAGGAGGATGATAAAACCAGGGATCCGTGTGCCAAAAATTAATGGTTCATTAACTTTTTTGAGGAGACTCTGACATCTGAAAACCGTAGGCCTGAGCAGAGGTTGAGAGTGTGGGGAGACCAGGGCAGATGGACATTTGTATGTTGTTGTTACTACCATCGTTAACTTGAATATTGGATAGCCCTTTTTTTTTTCTTTTATTTCAGTTTTACTGAGGGATGATTGTCATCTAATTGTCAGATATTTAAAAGTGTCCATTGTGATTTCATCTGCGCACACATTGTGAAAGGATTCCCCTCCCCCCCATCTAGCTAATTAACACACCCACCATGTCACGTTTATTTATCTGTTTTTGATGAGAACATGTAAGTTCTGTTCTCCTGACAGATTTCAGTTCCACAGCATAGTGCTAAACAGTTACCGTGGTGTTCGCTGGGCCTTCAGCCTTCTTCATTTTATAGCTTGAAGTTTTTGTACCCTTTTATCAGTCTTTATTTTCCTCACTTGCCCCAGCCACTGGCAGCCTTTTTTCTACCCTGTTTGACTTTTTCTTTTTTTAAAGAGTCTACATGGACATGGTACCATGCAGTGTTTGATTTGTCTTTCTCTGTCTGGCTCGGTCCCACTTAGCCCGGTGCCCTTAGGGTCCGTTCATGGTGTTGCAGACAGCAGGGTTTCTTTCTTTCACCTGGCTGAATAACATTCCATTTCACTCACACACACACACACACACAACGCGCGCGCACATGCACGCGCCCACCCTCACCTCTAATCATTCATCCACTGATGGACACTGAGGTTGTTTGTGTATTTTGGCTGTTGTGAGTGATGCTGCAGCAACCATGAGTCTCAGTCCTTCTCCGCTACTGTTTTCACTTACACGGGCACATTTCATACATGTGGACGCGCACACACGGGTATGTTTCACACATGTGCATGCACACACACATGCCCCCACATGGATTGCTGGACCCTCACTTCTTGAGGAACCTGTTTTAAGTGATGGCTGTACGCCAGCTTACATTCCTGCTGGCGATGCACAAGGGCTCCCTTCTTACACCTCCTTGCCAATATTAGTCTTTTTCAGAATAGTTACATGCAATTATCAGTCCACATATTATTATTTGTATTATTTTTAGATAGTAGTTTTGATAATGAAGCACAGAAAGGAAATATTTTACTTTACATGTACACACACACGACAGGTGCATGTGTTTTAAAAGAAGATTCCTACCACCTTCACTGGCAAGGGAGTTATCTTAGAGGAAGTTACTATTAGATGCTCGTATCAATTTTATTATGAGACCTAAGAAAAACTCTTAAGTCTGTTTTTCGATTTGTAGATATTGAAGACTTGCCTCCAACAGTCCAAGAAAAAGTATTTGATGAGGTGCTTGATAGAGATGTTCAGAAAGGTAAGTGTGGACTTAATGGGTGTGCTTTAGTTTAACTTCCATGAGCTCTTTGTTTTCACTGTATGGTTGACTTGTTTTATTTTTACTTTAGTTGAAAATGTAAAGTCCTTAAGAGCAGTGTCACCTCATGATGTTAAAATGTTCATTCTGTTGGGGCACCTGGGTGGCTCGATTGGGCGCCCGACTCTTGAATTAGGTTCAGGTCACGATCTCATGGTTCCTGGGTTTAAGCCCCTCACTGGGTTCTGCGCTGACAGTGCAATTGGAGGAGCCTGCTTGGAATTCTCTCCTCCTGCCCCACCCCCACCCCTAGGTAGTCCCAGCTCATGCTCTTTCTCTCTGAAAATAAACATTTAAAAAATGTTCATTCTGTCAATTACATCAGTAAAACTGGAGAAAAAAAATTATGAATGCTTTTGCATGGCTCTGTGATAGAGGGAATAAATAAAGGTATAAAAGTGTGTAAGCATTGGTTTTCTACTTCCAGTTCTAGAATATTTCTATGTTAAACATTTAAAAAAATTTTTTTTACATTTTTAATTTATTTTTGAGAGACAGAGTATGAACTGGGGAGGGGCAGAGAGAGAAGGAGACACAGAATCTGAAACAGGCTCCAGGCTCTGAGCTAGCTGTCAGCAGAGTCCGACGCAGGGTTTGAACCTACAAACCGTGATATCATGACCTGAGCTGAAGTCAGATGCTTAACCGACTGAGCCACTCAGGAGCCCCTATATTAAACATTTTTAGAAATAAATTGTAAAGAATTGAAAAGTTGAGAAAATTGTAGAGCCACAAGGTGTTTCCACTACTAAAAAGATTTATATTTTAATTGATCAAACTTATTTACATGTTTAATAGTAAATTACACATAAACTTATTAACATCTATAGAATGGGTTCTTTCCTCCAATGATTAATCCTTAATTGCATAGGCATGAAAATGAACATGTTACTTTGAGGTGTTTGGGTGGCTCATTCGTTTATAATCTTGCAGTTCGTGGGTTCAAGCCCCATGTTGGGCTCTGTGCTGACAGAGTCTGGAGCCTGCTTCGGGTTCTGTGTCTCCCTCTCTCTGCCCCTCCCCCCTCCAAATTAGAGAAAATTAAAAAAAAATTTTTTTAATTAAAAAAAAAACTAAAACAAAAAGAAAATGAACTTGTTATTTAAATCCCTTTATATAGAGTTAGAAGAAGAATCTCCAATTATAAACTGGTCTTTGGAATTGGCTACTCGTTTGGATAGTCGACTATATGCGCTTTGGAACCGGACTGCGGGAGACTGCTTACTTGATTCAGTGCTACAAGCTACCTGGGGCATTTATGACAAGGACTCGGTGCTTCGGAAAGCCCTGCATGACAGCCTGCATGACTGTTCACATTGGTAAGCTGGCCTCCCTCCCTGTTTAAAACCAGGTGTGCTCTTGCTGGGTCATTTCCTTACAGTGTCAGGATAGTTTATGCCGGATGTATTTTCTGTGGAAGCTAGGTGGGAACAATTTGACTTCAGACATTGAGACACTGGGGACATTTTGATGGCTTTTACACCCTTTTGCTGAGCATTAACATGGAAGCATTTGAAATGGCAGTAATAGCCCTAAATATTGATAAGGTCTTTGCCTGTATTTTTAAGTATTATGATTTCATATTTTTGTTTCATACTGAAAAGATTATGTTCACATTGTATTATGAGATTTTTTTCCTCAGGGACATAGTCTTCAGACCACATTTTGAAATCCACAGAAAAGTTAAATATCAGTGCAACAGACCCCAGTGTTTACTTCATCGGATTGCCCAATTGCTCTCAGTTAGCCACATCTCTGTGTGTGTAAGATCTTCCCTTTGCCAGTGAGTTGAAGTCATCACGATGCTTTTTAGCAGTTGGTACTTCAGTGTGCATCTTTGAAGTCCAAGGATATTCTTTTACCCACCAAATTCTCATTACCGTATCTAGGGAGATCAGCACTGAGGGGCATCTGCGGGGCTCAGTCAGTGAGGCACCTTGATTTCATCTTAGGTCATGAGCTCACAGTTCTAGAGATTGAACCCTGAGTACGGTGGTGTGGAGCGTGCTTGGAATTCTCTCTCCTTTCTCTCTGCCCCTCCCCCACTTGCGCGCGTTTGTGTGCTCTCTCTCTCAAAATAAATAAACTTAAAAAAAATCAACATGACTCTGTAATCCAACGTATAGTCCGTATCACATCTTCCAGTTGTCCCACAAATGCCCTTTGTGTGTATACAGATTTTCCCTGCTCTCCAAAAGTAGAGCGCTTGTGAAACCTTTTGTAAGCTTTTGAAAGGGTGTAAAGCAGAGATACAGTTACCATTTGTAGAAGTGAAAATCTTCAGATTTCTTTCTGGCTAGCAAAACCAGGTGCTAATGTGAGAGTCTTTTGTAAAAGTGAAGGGGCGCAAAGTGAACTTTTAGGTAGTGAGAGAATCCTCTGTGTGTGTGTGTATGTATGTACATATGTATGCGTGTACACACACAGTTATTATTTTTTTAACCTGGCATCCAACCAAGTATACAGCTGGTCTTGAACTGTCAATTCACCCATTGGGGTTATTGTCAGTGGAAATGATGATGGTGTTTGTGACTCATAGTTTGGCCTTATACTTACTTGACTTAAGGTATTTTCTTGGTTCTATATATACATTATCTCCGTTATCATAAATGAGAAAATTGAGGCCAGAAGAAGCTAAATTAATTAAAATGTGCAGTTTTCCTCTTAGACCTACTCGAATGCTTACAGAGTAATGATAATGGACTTATTCCAGATAACTTCATTACCCTAGTATGTCTTATTTAATTTTTGAGCACTTAGTTGTAAATTTTGTTGTCAGTATTTAGGTTTACGTGAAGTCCATTAGAATGTACACTCCATGAAAACAGAGATTTTGTTGTGTTTATTGTGGAAGATCTAGTGCCTCCAGTAGCCTGATACATAGTGAGTATGCAGTAAACAGTATTGAATGAAAGCCCTCTAGAATTTGAAATTGAGAGCAGTTGAATAACTTCCTTGAGAGCTAAATTATAAATCAAAGCATAATGCAGTAGAGGACAGATTTGAGGTCACCTGAAAAAAAAAGTAAAAAAGCTCCCTGGCTGCAAACCTAGATGGTAACCTGATTTGATGTATATTATGGACAGGCGTGCCTCAGAGATAACGTGGGTTCAGTTCCAGACCACTGCAGTCGAGTGAACGTCTTAATAAAGTGAGCCAAAGGAATATTCTGGTTTCCTCAGTGCATATAAAAGTGCAGGTTTATATTATCCTATAGTCTGTAGTCAGTGTGCTATAGCAGTAGATCAAAAAGAAAAAAAAAAAGGCAGCAGCCCTAACCATCATCTGGGCTTTCGGTGAGTCATAGTCTTTTTGCCGGTGAAGGGTGTTGCGTTGTTGATGGGCTACTGGCTGATCGGAATAGTGGCTGCTGAAGGCCAGGGTCGCCGCGGCAGTCTCTTAAAATAAGATGACAGTGAAGGTTGCTGTATCGACTGACTCTTAATTTCACAAATGATTTCTCTGTAGCGTGATGCTGTTTGACAGCGCTTTACTCACAGTAGAACGTCTTTCACATTGGAGTCTGTCCTCTCTCAGCCTGCCGCTGCTGCCGTGTCGGCCAAGTGTAGGTCGTATTCTCCATTCTCTGCTGTCACTCGAACAGTCTTCATAACATCTTCACCAGGAGGAGGTTCCACTGCAGAAAGCCCTTTTGGTGCTCAGCCATGAGAAGCGAGGCCTCCTCTGATCAGACTAGATCACAAGATGACAGCAGCTCTTTCCCGTCTTTGGGCCCCACTTCCAGTTCTCTGCTCTTTCCACCACATCTACAGTTACTTCCTCCACTCAAATCTTGAACCCCTCAGTCATCCATGAGAGTTGGAATCAGCCCCTTGTAAACTCCTGTTAATGCTGATATTTTGACCTCTTTCCATGAATCAGGAATGTTCTTATTTGCATCCAGAATGCTGAATCCTTTCCAGAAGCTTTTCAGTTTCCTTTGCCCAGATCCATCTGAGGAATGGGTCTATGGTAGCAGTAGCCTTACTTCAGATAATGACTAGAAGCTTGAAATTACTCCTTGATCATGAGCTACAGTAAAACATTAGTCTGGTTGCATCTCTGTCAGAGCTCTTGTGTGACTAGGTGCATTGTCGGTGAGCAGGCATACTTTGAACGGAGTTTTATGAGGGTAGGCGTCAACAGTGAGTTTAAAATACTTAGTATAGTGTAAATGGATGTGCTGTCATCCAGGCTTTGTTGTGGTTTTTATAGAGCAAGCGTATACTTAGCACAATTCTGGAGGGCCCTCGGATTTTTGGAATGGTCAGTGAGCATTGGCTTTGACTTATAGTCACCAGCTGCAGTAGCCCCCTAACAGGAGAGTCAGCCTGTCCTTTGAAGCCAGGCACTGACTTCTCTCTAGTTATATGAGTCCTAGATGGCATCATCTTCCAGTAGAATGCTATTTCATCTACACTGAACACGTGTTTAGTGTAGCTACCTTCATTCATTACTTCAGCTAGGTTCTCCGGAAAACGTGCTGCAGCTTCTGTTTCACTTCCTGATTCACTTTGTACTTTGATGTCTGGAGATAGCCTCTTTCCTTAAACCTCGTGAACCAGCCTCTGCTAGCTTCAAATTTTCTTTGCTTCTTTCCTCACCTCTGTGAGCCTTCATCGAATTCTGAAGAGCATTCCTTTCTCTGGGAGTGCTGTTGATATGCTGGTGAACACATGGGCTATTTTCCAGTCTGTTGCTTACACAGTGACCAAGGAGTGAATTCTGTGCATTAATGTAAAACAGTAGTGTCTTTGTATCCAAAATCTCAGATGGTTTTGAATGTCTTATTATTTTTTTTGAACTTGTAAATCAATAGTAGACATTTGAAATGAAATTGATCTCATCACTAGTGTTAAAAGTTCTGATCAGAACTTAGTGGGTGGTGAGTCGAATTATGTGTGAGGATATGTTAAGTGTGATGTCTGCTGGCAGAACATAGGCATTTTTCATGTGAAAATACATTGCAAACTGGGGGAAAATTGTTCATTTCTAGGTGAATTGCTTAAAAACTACATTAAACGATTGGAACATTAAATGTACTGTTCGTAGAAGGCTAATTTTTTACCGTCTTGCTGTTTTAGGTTTTACACACGTTGGAAAGATTGGGAATCATGGTATTCTCAGAGCTTTGGTTTACATTTCTCCTTGCGAGAAGAACAGTGGCAAGAAGACTGGGCATTCATACTCTCCCTTGCCAGCCAGGTGAGAACGCTGCGAGGCGTGTTGCTCCCCTGAGAAGAGGTGGCCGCGTGCTCTTGAGTCCCTTGATGTGCGCGCAGGAGCCAGTGGGCGGCGGTGTGGTAGGAGCAGGCGCGTACCCGATTCGGCAGTGGGTGCCGTGGTTCCTCGTCGTGGCTGCTGTCTGTCGGCGGGGGGGCCACGGGCAAGGCCTCATGCAGGACAGGGACAGTACCGCGGGCTTCCTCCGTGACGTGATTAGACAGTGTCAAAATGGAAGTCGTACTGGGATGATTGTCAGGCTTCCGTACTTTTCCAGATTGCTCTTCTTAGGAAGGCGGCTTTATGCCTGTTTTATCCACCTGCTGGTTCTGGGGCTAAGGATCGCTGAGCTGGTGGCCTGTCCCGTTTCTGCGTTCAGGCCCGCAGGGCAAGGTGCTATGGCCAGCAGAGGGCGCTGTTTCTAACTAACTTGGGAATGAACTTTTATAACAATGAATCGTTCACAGTTGTTCCTCTCAGGCTCTGGCTTTCATACTAGTTTCGTTCCACAAACACGTTCAGAATACTGAACTGCGGTGTTCAAAAATATGCCCAAGAAACCATTCTGTTTCTTTGCAGAAAGCACTATACTGTATTTGAACCCTGTGAACGCAATACATTCTGTCACAGTGGCTATATCTGCGACGTGTACTTCCTGAAAACATGTCCATCTGCCAGAGGGGAGGTGGACCTGTGTAGTAGTCTTGAATTAGGCGTGCACGAAGTAGCAGCTCCTCTTTTTCCTTGGGAAGGACCTTGCGTGGGTGCAGCTCTCCCAGGGACCATCCCCAGCAGGGATCTTCCCCAGCAGGTGGTCACGGGAGTCAGGCATCCCTCGCTCTCTGGATCTCTTGTTCCTGAGATCAGAATTTGCCCAGATCTGTCAGGTTCTTGAGTTTGGATAGTGAGAGATACCTGTAAACGCACACCTCGCAGATTTCCTTTATGATTTCATTGGAAGGATTTGCAGAATTTTATACTCACTTAGCTTTATAGTATTATTTTTAAAAAAAAAAAGAGCGGACGGACGGGGAGCAGTGCTGTGCTCTCTGCACAGCTGTTTCCTGGGTGGCAGTGAATGTCAAAGAGAAATTACTTTCTTTTATTTTACTTTGCACAGCCTGGAGCAAGCTTGGAACAGACGCACATTTTTGTACTTGCACATATTCTTAGACGACCAATTATAGTTTATGGAGTAAAATATTATAAGAGTTTCCGGGGAGAAACTTTAGGATATACTCGGTTTCAAGGTAAGCTCTTACTCCAGAGTACTCTAGAAGTCTCCTTACTCAGGATGCGCTTCGTGGCGGAGTCCTGACAGTCCCGTCGTGCGGGTTTCTTCCCTCCAGGTGTTTATTTGCCTTTGTTGTGGGAACAGAGTTTTTGTTGGAAAAGTCCGATCGCTCTGGGCTATACGAGGGGCCATTTCTCTGCTTTGGTGGCCATGGAAAACGACGGCTATGGCAACCGAGGTGCTGGTGCTAACCTGAACACGGACGACGACGTCACGGTCACGTTCCTGCCTCTGGTGGACAGCGAGAGGAAGTTACTGCACGTGCACTTTCTTTCTGCTCAGGAGGTGAGAGGCTGGCACTCCCCTCAGCCCCTTCTAGTAGTGTCTGTGCAGCCGCCCGGCCTGGATGCCTGTCCCCCGGCCCCTCCGGCGGGGTGTCCCTGAGCTGGGCCAGCGGGAGCTTTGGGTTTGGTCGTAGTGTCACTTTGTGGAGATACAGGTCAGCCAGGCTTCGAAGTTTACCTTTTCTGAGCTGTGGGGCAGGCTGTTATGTGAAGACCCCCCCCGCCCATGCCCCCCCAGCAAGGAACACTGAGGGGAAAAGTAGAAAGGTGGGCGAGGGGACAAAGGGGGACATAGGCCTCGTGATTTGAATGGGGTGGTAACCAAAGGCATCTGAGGAGGAGGTGCCCTTGCCCTGAGAGCCCCCCCCCCACCGAAGTGGAGCCTTTCAGGATAGGGAGGAAGAGGCGGTACGTAGAGGGGGCACCACAAGCCCTGGGGGGGTGGCCAGTGAGGGGCCGAGGGGCCAAGGAGTGTCAAGGGGCTCACTCATCCACGGCCTTTAGAAGCCTTGGCTTTGGCCTTGTAAGCTGGGAAGCCAGCAGCCAGCCCAGCCCGCACAGTAGACGGACACGGGCTGCTCAGTGTCAAGATGAGAAGCTTGGATGTTGGCCAGAGTGGGAAGCCCAGGTCCGAGGGTGTTGCAGATGCAGGGGGTGTGAGGGGGAGACCCAGGCAGGGGTGATGGTGAGGATGTGCAGAAAGAATGCTCTTAGAAAACGCACATTCTTACAAAATTATCTGTCTTTTATTTACTGTACTAGTCATTATTATAAAACAATCACAGTAAGAAGAGTTAATTGATATAAATTATATCAGTTATCTATAAATAGACCATGATTTTTATGATTTCATTCTGTAAATATTTAAATAAACTTACCTTGTCATGTATTTGAAGCTGAGACTTTGTTTTTATAGCCTTTTCTTTGCCATGGTAAGTTTATTAGGTTAACATTTGTTTTTTCCCATTCTGTCAAACAAAAATATTACTAGATGGTTCTTCCTCTTGAGGTCTTTTTCTGGGAATTTTCCTACTGATGTTTTGTTTTTTGTTTTTTGTTTTTTTTGGTTTATTTTAGAGAGAGGGAGAGAGTGCACGCAGGGGAGGGGTAGAGAGGGAGGGAGACACAGAATCCGAAGCCGGCTCCGGGCTCTGAGCTGTCAGCACAGAGCCTGACATGGGGCTGGAACTCAGGAACTTTGAGATCATGACTTGAGCCAAAGTCGAAAGCCCAATCGACTGAGCCACTCAGGCGTCCCCCCTCCCCACATTGAGCTTTTTGTTTAACCATAGGAAACTGGGTTTTAATCATGAAATTGACGGGAGGCTGAAACCATGTGAAGAGTTTGTTGCTTGGACCTTCTCATTAGTAATCCTACCAGCTGTTTCTATGTGTTTCCATTGAGTGTCTCCTAGCAAGTCCTCTGACCTGTGATGCTCTCTTCCCTCCTCACGTCCCTCTAAAAGCTAGGTAATGAGGAGCAGCAGGAGAAGCTGCTCCGGGAGTGGCTGGACTGCTGTGTGACCGAGGGCGGCGTGCTGGTGGCCCTGCAGAAGAGCTCTCGGCGGCGGAACCACCCCCTGGTCACGCACATGGTGGAGAAATGGCTTGACCGCTATAGGCAGATCCGGCCTTGTACGTCCCTGTCTGACGGAGAGGAAGATGACGATGATGAGGATGAATGAAAAAACTCTGACAGCAGAAGACCAGGGTTATTGGCTCTGCGGCGCCCGCAGAGCTCGTGTGGCGCGTGCTCCCAGCGGGGTGCGGGGCGCAGAAGGAACCGGATCTGGTGGGACCTGCCCGGAAGGGTTTTCCTCATCACACCCGACAGAGATGACGAATCTGCTGTGTGAGGAGACAGAGAACTTTGGACTACAGTTTGTAAAAAAAAAAAAAAAAAAAAAAAAAAAAGAAAAGAAAAAAAAAAGAACCCCCCCCCTAATTTTATTAAGACAGAACTTTTTTCCTTTCAAGTTGTAAATGTGTCTATAACTGTAACGCATGTGGTTGTGTAAGAAGTTGTGTAATAGGACAAGTTGTACCAGCATCTTCATATTATTGAGAAGTTTTTTCAGCACGGGCACCTCCCCCCAAAGCTCATGGCAGATGACTTTGTTCCTTTGAGATCTTCTTTCTCAAGTAGAACCTGGCGTTCTACTTCCACCTTAAAAGGCCCACAGCCACACATAAAAATAAAAACAAGCTTTTATTTTATTAATAATTTAGTTCCTGTTGTGCCCAGTAAAACGAAATCAAATCTTTAAGGAACAAACTGCAAGGAAAGAAAGAATTGAGGGAACTTCATACAGACGTCATTCCCTTGTTTTGGAAAGGGTTTGGGTTTCTATTTGTTTGTCTTTTTTAAAAGCTTCTGATATGCCCCCTTTCAGTATTTAGGTATTTGTTTGGAAGAGTGCCCTTAAAATGAGGGTTCTCCCAGAGCCCGCAAGGCAGTGTCCTCGGGGACCGTCGCTCCCCCGATGTGAGGGAGGCGCCTGGGGTACAGGCCCGCTCGGGACTAAATGAATTGTGTGAAATTTGCTCCCTTGATTCAATTGACAATGTTCCGATCCCAGACTGCCCCGCAGAGGCTCTTCACCAGCCACTCTGCTTGCGGCAGAATGTGTTAGAAAGGCATGCCTTTGCTTCGGCTAACTGGGGGTCGGTTACGTATAAAGAGTTACAAAATGCAGTAAGGTGGTAAATGCATTGTATAACCAATTTCTCAGAGCAGTCTGAGGATTTTTGCATGTTGGTTAATTGTGGCCATTCTTATTTAAAACTATAATCTTAGATAGAAATCTTTTTATAAAAAGTATTACTTGACCACTTCAGGTATATGTTCAGTACTGGGTGAAAGTTGCAGATCTATCTCAGGAGCACAAAGACTTCCTGACAAGCACTTTGTAGACTATGGACGTGGTAAGGAATTTGGAAAGAAGCCCCTCCCCCCCCCCCCCCCCCACATGCTTCCTTCACTTTGGAGAAAAGGCTGTGAAAGACCTTTCAATACTAGTTTTTCTTAGTTCTGTCTAGATGGTGTTTGAAATGAGCACAGCCTCTGACTTGATGCTCGAATACTAAAGACGGAAAACCACCCAGATGTCCTTTTCTTCCTCCTCGGAACAGTCCACTGAAAGACCCTCCCAGGACAAAGGGAGGACTTTTGCTCTCTGCTAGAACTTGCAGGAAACTTCTGCAAGTTGATGGCGTATAAATGAATTTTGCTGTAATGATGGTAAATGGTACTGTTCTAAGCGGCTATATTATCCTACAGGTTGACTATGGTTTACTTTCATTTTGGTCAGTAATTATTTAGCAGGCTGACTGCCTAGCGTAGCAGCTTTACACACCTTTCTCCGCACAAAGATGGGAATCTCTCTTCCGGGGCACAGATCCTGTTCTAGTTGCCGGTAAGCAAACTGCCCTCCCAGTTGAAGAAGCCAAAGAATGCTTGAGAAAGAAGCATCTAGCGATGGTCTGCACAGCAGTCCGTGCTGTCTAGGAACCATCGGCTCGGTATTGAGCCTGTGTGGGGTGGTCTGCCGAGTGGTTTCCCTGAGGTGCCTCTTTATTTATTTATTTATAATCCGTGATCCTGACCACACCTAGTGCAACAGGTACAGCGTTCTTCCCCGTGGGAAAGGTAGAGGATTGCATTTCCTCGGCTCCAGACAGGGAGGGATGGGGCTCTAAGTGGGTTTCATAGCAGATTGGCTGGAAAAGGCTGTGTGTCCAGCTCTTGAACGACTAAACAGCCATAGCTGTGTCCCAAGAGGAGTGTGCGGTCCTCTCTCAAAGATCACGGTCTCGGTGGACTCCGGACAGGAGTGCCAGAGCTCTATGGACTGGACTTTGGTGTTTTTTTGTTTTGTTTTTGTAGGGAGACTACAGTGTGGTGTTTTCTGTTCTGATTAAACAAAACCTAGGCGCACTACAGACTTGAAACCTGCCTTTTTGTGGTTTCCGACTCTAGGCTCACTGTGGCCCAGACTTGGTCTGTGTTAAGGCCGCGCTGCCGTGCCGAGGCCGGTGGGTGTCTCGTTTCCGAGCATGTGTCTTGCCCTCCTTGCCGACATCCTGGTCAGGACGAGGGTGTTCAGCTCCCGTTCGGGTTCCTGAGGGACGGGTCAGTAACCACGTGCTCCACGTCTGTCAACAGGAAGCTGTTGTAATGGGATTTTTCTGGGAGGGCTGGGATGGGACCCCCGCCTTCACAGGAGCGAGGGAGGAGGCCGATGCCTTGAAGACACCCTTTTCTTACCGGGAAGGGAGCGAAAGGGAGTTTGGTTCCTGGAATCGGACTCCATTGGTTGCCTAGTACTTGCAGATACCACTAGTGCAAAGGGGTTTAATGCTATTTAAGAGGGACGATCCTTTGAACCACCTTGAAGTTCTTAACGTACGGAAATGGCTGATGTTAATTATTTTGCAACATTTCTTTGTAAATATCATTTAAAAGAATTTTGAGATCCACTTCCCTTCCTGCATTAATGCTTGAGCCAGGCAATTTTGCGTTTGGGTAAATTAAAATCAAAACACTCTAACTTGACCAATTTTGTTTCTTCAATCGATTTAGTTCTAACCCACTGCTGCATCTAAAGGATGGCGTGATCTGCCAGCGACGGGCTTATTAACGCGAGGTTTTCGACGGGTGGTGGTCAGCATTCCCGAGTCTGGGTTATGGAATAGGTAGGTAGGAAGCTGTTCATCCCTGAACCCTGCCTGAAGTAACAGGAGTTGGAAACTGGCTGATCGAAAACTTACTTGCCTTTAAAACATCTCAATTAGACAGCTTTTCCATGGGTGAGATGTACTTGAATTTCAGAACTTAACAAATTTTTATTACTTTTTATTGAAAACTGCACTGAACGCTATATGTCCACCTTTACAATAAACAAATACAGGAACGGTGACTCACACGAAAACAAAACAGTTCTGATAGCCATTATTTTTCTGTTTGGGACAGTTTTAAAGGTTTTTTTTTTTTTTTGTCACAAAAACAGGAATGTACCTATACAAAGGCTCAAAATAGGCCATCTTTTAAACAAAAAGGCGATGATTCACAAAAGACTATGAATATAACATGTAACTAGTTGATACAAATCTAATAGGATTTGTTAAAATCAGTCACATCTAATAACACACCTGAAGTGTTCTTGTATAAAATATCACGTGAAGAAAAGAAGACTTTATCAAGGTCTAAAAAAGTGGGTTTGTTCATAGACAATCTGACAAGTTACCATAAAAAGTGTTTCCTGAGACATAAGGAAATGCAACATTATTTTTCTTGAACTCTTTCAGCTCAAGACTTTCCACTCAATAAAATAGCTGAGGATCTGAAACTGAGAAAATATATTTGAGTACAAACAGCTTGTGAAACTTAATACTTTTTTTTTTCTTTTCTCTTTTTTTTTCTTTTTTTCTCTTTGCATCATCAGAGGGTGGTACTGACTTCACAACCAACTCGCCTGCTCAGTTTGCGGTTGAGGTGGGAGAGGCTTCTGTACAGGAGGCTGTACGGGTCCTCGATCCTGCGCCCCGTTTTGTAGTAACTGGGTCTTCCTACACGCGCGAGAGGTTACCAGCCCCCACGGACCGAAGGGACTCGAGTCACAGGAGGGGGGGTTTCCTCTCAGCATTTTTTATTTTCACGTTCGGAACTTCAGATGCAACATTGGAGAGCAAGGCGTTGAGGGCCTGCTGTGCCCGAGGGGCTGATAAAGGAAACAGATCTATTTATTCTTTGTGATTTGATGCACAGATGAAGAACGTAACACACAATAACAGAAGTTGGTCGTTAACAAATCACGTCCTAGTCTCTCGGCGCTTCCGTAAGCAGACGCCAGCTCCTGCTTCCCCGCGTCCCGGCGTCTAGCTCGCTTCTAACACTGCAACGTCAGCGATGCGCGGGTCCGGAATCGGTTAAAAAGACGGTCGGATTCCTTTTCCTTAGTTCATCTATTTGTCACGGTCTCTTGGTCCCAGGTTTATCTGAAGGATGACCGTTGGTCATTCTCTGCTATTGCTCATTGGGGTGCTCTCTATTGTCCCCGTGTTTTGTAGGCTGGTTGGGGGAGGGAGCTTGGGAAGGGTGCGCCACGGTGGGGAGGTTGTGGGTCACAGGGATGCCGCCGGGGAGGATCCCTTCCATGGCCGCGGGAAGTCCTCCGGGAGCCACGCCCACGATGCCCGGTGGGTATCTGAGGAGGACACAGAAAGGGCCAGTAAGTCCGGGGCTGGAAGCTGCCGAGCTCTCGGCTCTGCCTGCTTCGGGGTGTTTATTGAGGAGTCACCCTTCACCCCCAACGCAAGGAGACCTCTACGTGAAAAATCTAAAACACGGACGTTTACTTCACGATAAAGTCTGGGTAGTTACGTCAAAACACCGAGCCAGAAGTTTTGGAAGCTTCCTTTCGTACAACAGGAGAAGCTCATCCCGCCTTTGGGAAATGTTTTGTACCGAAAAAGACCTATTGATGCTTTTAGTGATTTCCCAACAGGCAGGACGAAGTCCTCTTTGATAGTGTGGCCTTCCAGGCGGGCCAGCTCCGCTCTCGTGGCCAGAGACGGGACAGGACGCGGCAGTGGCGGGAGAGGGGAGCTGGCGAAGGGCTCATCTGATGCTGCAGGCACACAAGTCGCCGTGTGTGCAAGGACATGTGGCATTAAGTCGCCTACAGAAGATACGGTTCTCAGGCAAATGTGAGTCCGTGTATGTAAACATGCCCAGGATGATACGTACTTAGGAGGCAGGTGCTCCACGCCTCCCCCCCCCCCCCCCCCCCCCCCCCCCCCCAGCCTGTCACAGCTGTTCACCGCTCAGAAATCCAGGACTCGGGAACAGGATCCCGTGAGCGACAGCCCCTCGAACAGAAGGGACCAAGGGGCCACGCGGTCTTGGTCCAAAGGAATCATTACACCGTGGCCTCGAAAGAGCAACAGTGCGGAGCGGTGTCAGGTATGGATACGGAAGCCACGAGACTGTGAAGAAAACTGACTTCCCCGAGTCCCAGCCTGCACGTGTGGGACCCACTGCCCGAGTCCCCGGCCCCAGTGGCTAGCGCGGGCGGGAGGCAACAGCCAGAGCCACTTGCGGGTGTAGGTGCGAGGTGCTGGTGGAGGGCGGGTCTCTCGCGCACATCCCACGACGCACGGGACAGGGGCCCGGGATGGGGACGGTGGGGGACGGGCAAGACAAAACTCCCTTCTGCGAAGAAGCGGGCACAGCGGTCCTCCCGTGAGCCCAGCACGGCGGGGAAAGAACCAGGGGAAGGGCCACCGGCCACAAGGGCTGTGGCTCGTGTCCCCGGGGCAGACCCCCCTGCACTGCCACGCCCTCTCGTCACCAAGACCCGAGGTACTCTGGGCACTCCCCCCAGTCTGGCTTCCGGCCAGAAGATTCAAATTGGAAAACAGGGTCGCCAGCCACATGCCCTTTCACTTGGAAATCGTTCCGTTAACTCTCCACCTTGAAGCCCTTGGAAAGCAGGGGGGTTCCTGCTCCCCTTTGTAAATAGGAACCCCGACTGCAGGATGTACCCCAAGAGCTGTGTCTGCTGCACAGAAAGTGGGCATGGGAAGAACTGCGGACTGCAGACCAGGCCGGGAGCACTCCGGGGGGGGGGAGCCTGATGCCACTCCCTCTCCGCCCATCTCCCCGCTGCCATCCCGCTCCTCACCTGTATGTGGCGCCATTGAGCTCCGGATGGATGGCTTGCTGATCTATTACTGACCAGGGAGCTGTTGTGACAAAGAATTCCTTGTTCACACAGTTTCTTAAGCTTTCGGGGATGCGACCTGGAACAGGACGATTAAAATGAATCCTACGTGTTTTTCAAGCAATGAGTTAAACATTCTACTCAGGAGCTGCCACTGGGAAGAACCCCCAGCAGTCTAACCGTTAAGTCTCTTACTCTATGATAAGAGGGCTGACCCTTCGATTCTCAGAGACCGTGCCATGTTCCCGGGCCCCGGCGCCGAGCTCCTCACCCCCGCCCTCGGCGGAGCACAAAGGGGCTTGGGCTTCCCCTGCAGTTCGCACGCTTACTGCTGACCCACCAGAAAGGGAATCTGTTTGGTCTGAAATTTAGCCCAGGGTCTGAATGAACTGCATACATCTCATAATTGAATCCGATGGATCTCTAAACTCTTCCTGCCTGTAGCAAGCCTCCGCGTCACCCCTCCTGCGCGTGTGTCAGTGGTGCCGGGGGCACCTGAACCGCGGGGCTCCCGCCAGGCACTGGCTGCAAGGGGCGCAGAGTGGGGGGCTCACCTGTGATCGCCCGGCGGATCTCGGTGGCGGCTGCCTCCCGCATCTCTAGTGAGGCTTGCTCACTATACCAAGCTGTGTGGGGCGTACAAATGAGATTCGGTGCATCTTTCAAGGGACCCTGAGCAAAGCTAGATAAACGTACACAAACACAGCAAATGAGAAAACTTGGATAACAACCCCTATCCTATTTGTCAAAAGGGAGCTACGGGCTCTTTGACTTGGGGAGAAGAACGTTTGGTAGTATGTTTCCTGGAGGCTGGGGGTTTAAGGACATCTCAAAACTTTCATAGTGAGTGTCAGGGGCTCCGAACGGAGAACCAGCTGGGCAGGACCGGCCAGCCCAGGGGACAGATGAAGCCTGGTCCTCCGCGGGCCAACACCCCATTCTCCTTCCTTCCAGACGCGTTCTGCCTCCCCCCCCCCGCCCACTCCCCGTGGGTCCCCGGCCCTCCCATGCTCGCTGCCAAGTACAGCACGGCCCTCAGAGCAGAGGCTGGAGACGGTCTCTCGTTTCCAGTTTCCTACCCAGGAGCCACTTCGCTGGGAAGTGCCTCAAGTTCACGGTGGGGGCGGGGGCACCCAGGGGTAGAAATGGGCCCGGGGAGCTTGGGAAACACGCGTGCCAGCAGCCCGCCAGGCTCACCTGAAAGGCTCCGATTCATGCACATCGAGGGCTGCCCCCCGTATCCTGCCTTCCTTGAGGGCTTGTGCTAAGGCCTTCTCGTCCACCAGCCCGCCGCGGGCCGCGTTCACTAGGAAAGCTCCTTGCCTCATCTGGGGGAGGAGGGAAGAGCCATTAGAGGCCACCACGCCCGAAGGCAGCTGAGCTGCGGTTTCGAGAAGCCGGCCACAGACGGGAACGAGTTCTGTCCGTCTGGCTACTTGACGTGTGCGCGGCAGCGGGGAGGGAGACGGTGGGGGCTGTCGGCGACGGCGGGGGCCCGGACGGCGGGCAGGAAGGTTGGAGTTGTGCCCTGGGCTCCGCCTGCCGCTTCTTGGAGACCAAACCTGATTAAGGCAGGTCCCTGTGGGGTAGCTCCCGTCTGTCCCAGCTCGACCTGACCCATCTCACAGAGGAAGGGCCTCACCCGGCTTCTCATTCACGTCTTAGGGAACTGTCTTCCTTCTCGCCAGTGTGTCCATGGACTGTTTCCCATCCCCCCCTTTGGTTCTGATGGAGGTTTCCAGGGGCTGGGGGTGGGGGGGAATCTAGGTCCCATTACCTGCTTTATAGTAAAGTCATTGATGAGGTGGTGGTTATGTTCGTTGAGATTACA